GACTCGATCCCGGGACTCCAGGATCATGACCTGAGCCGAAGGCAGTCGCTTAACCAACTGAGCCACCCAGGCGCCCTCAATTTTCAAATATAGAAAATGAAACTCAATAAAGGTGATAAAGAAAATGGAAAAATACGTCCAATGTCAAGAATAGAGTTCTTAAGCAGAATTCCACACTGGTGGCCTCAACCACTTTACCTTGTTGTGTGACCCTGGGCAAGTCACATCACCTGAGTCTGATTCCTAATCTGAGAAAGAGAAGTAACAGCTCCTTCCTGAAATATTGTGAGAATTTAACTTAATAAAGATGTACATATCAGTACTTGATGATGGTGTTAGCCATCTTACTCTTATTTCATTTCCTTTTTGAAATCAAACACCTCCACAGTGGGCTGATCACTGAGTACATGACGGTGACCAAGACCATCCCAGCGCTTACTCTCATGGAGCTCACACACCAGTGCAGACAACCCCGTAACAGCCCAGAACCATCAGGGCTTGAGCGGGACATGTCCAGCGCCTCTGGGAAGTCAGAGGCAGGCACCTGAGGGGAAAGGGGACGCCGAAGGGTTCTTGGAGGAGTCCTGTGAGCTGAAACCTTCAAAGACGAACAACAGTGACCAGGCTAATGGCCAGAGTACAAGATGGACTGGAGGCGCGTTAAAGACACAGGAAGCAGTGTGTGCAAAGGCTGAAGGATTAACTGACGGTTTGCCTGGAGAAAGCGAAGGAAGAGAAGTGAATGCGGGGTATGCAAGAGGGGGCCGGCTCGTGCGAGGTAACCTGGAGTCTGGACTATCCCCAGAACTCACCATCCTTCTTGATCTTCTCGTTGAGGTTGTTGATATAAATAGTGTGGTTGGGGCGGGTCTCGGGAACTGCCATGGAGATAGATGCCGAGGTAGAGCTGAAAGAAGGAAAAAAGGTAACTTCAGCCCTGGGTTTCTCCAAATCCTCTGCCCCAAAACGGGCTTAACGGGCTGCTCAGGGATCTTCCTCCCAGGAGGAAGTCGGGAGAGGCGGGAAGGAGGCACAGCTTGGAAAACAAAGCGAAAGCTGGACAGCTTCTGCTCCCCGCGTGGTAGAAGGAGATCTCGAGAGGTTTACTACGAGTCCCAAGATGCTCTACGCGACCCAGTAGGCGGAGCGTCCTAAGTGGCGAACCCCATTGGCCCACGAGCTCAAAGGACGGCCCAGCAGAAAAAAACCCGGATGTAAGAGTCAGTTAAGGAAAGACACGACTGAGGCGCCCTAACCTCGCGCAGCGGGAAGATAGTTTCCCCACACGAGGCGCGAGAAGGCCCAGGCGGCAAGCGCTCCGCTCGCCCGGCGTCGATGGCCGCCATTGCCCGAGATTACTCACCAACAGAGCCGCAGCTCCTGCAAGAGTCACCTCCTACGTTTCTGAGAGCCGACTACCAAAGCTTCCTCTCCTGGTCCCGCCTTTATCTTTCTGCAAGCCAATCCCGCGCGGAAACTCAGTACCTTGACCAATCAGAGTCAGTCGCGCCCCTGGACCCAAACCTTGCCAATCAAAAACGACATTTGGGTTCCCGCCTCGGCTGAAAAACCCCGCCCGACCCGGCACTGAGGGCCTACGGACCAATCAGCGAAGGCCGCGGCCCCTCACGCGCTTCATGCCAATGGAGAAGCCGCTCGCGCTTCAGTCTCTTCCGGGGGGGCGGTCCTTTAAAAGCCTCTCCTTTTCCCCCCCCACCGCCCCGCCTTCTCTCATCACGTGACGCTATGGGGGCGGGCACGAGTTGCGAGTCCCACCACGTGATATGGGAAAAATGTGTGCTGCGGCCGCCATTTTGCTGGAAGGGGAGGTGCGTTTTACTTTCTGGCTCCGTTACCTATCCCGGCGGTATCGCGGCTCTCAGCGTCCTCCGACCTCTGAGCCTTCCCCAACCGAGGGGACTTCTCCTTTTGCGCTCTGATTCCAGGACCTTCTCCACGACTAAGCCATTCTCCCTGCCAGGTGTCCTTTTGATCTCCTGACCTCTGATTCAAAGGTCAGCTCCAAGGTTCCGAACTCGGGCCTGGGATGTGAGGGGTTACAGAGCCAAAATTCCCTAGTCTTTAGCCCTGGACCCCCCAAAACCCCACCCTTTAGGCACCCCACCCCAGATCCGAGCATTCATTTTCCCAAAATTGACTCCGGAGTTTTACAAACCTTTCCTGGGTTATACAGTAACCCTTAACTAAATCCCCCTTCTTGAGCCTTGCAATCCAGCCCCAAACCACAAATGTAGTTCCGGATAAAGGACCCGCCCTGTTAACCCCCTGCTTCCATGGTTCCAAATATCAGTCCTGGTCCTTTCAGGCCCACTGCTCAGCACACAAGTTCTGGAACTCCGCGCTAAAACCTTCAGAACGTCCATCCCTGTGACTAACTCATTTTAGAGCATCCATCCCGCCCCGATTCTTGACCTTCCAGCACTTGCATGCCATAGACCCCAAAATGATTTCTCCGTGCTCTCCTCCGATCGAGCCCCCAGCCCCTCCACAAACCCCTGTTCCCCAAGCCCCCATCACTCCACTTCCTCTACCCCCAAATGTCCCCAATTTAGCTTTTCCATCCCCTTCAAGTCTCCAGGCCCCTATCCCCCCACCTCCACCCCCTGTGAGGGCACTGGCTCCCCCTCACGTCTTCGGCCTAGAGAAGAGTCAGCTCCTGAAGGAGGCCTTAGAGAAGGCCAGGCCAGTCCCCAGGAGCAGAGATGACGTGAAGAGGCTCCTGAAGCTGCACAAGGACCGGTAGGGTCTCACCGAACCACCTGTCCCCAGGTCACTTCAGCCGTCTTCTCTTGGGGTTTCCTTCCCATTTCCTCAAGGTCAAAGAGCCTGTGTGCCTCAGCTCCCTACTTAGACCCATTCAGGGCACGCCTTCACCAAAGAAGAGAGATCCTGCCCTCAAGGCACCTAGTCCAGTGGCAGAGACAGATCCCTCCCTCACCAGTGACAGCCCAGAGTGGTCAGAGCTGTAATGAGGGAGCCCCTAGGGCGGGCCTGGCCAAGGCTGGGGGTTAAGGGGGCCTGAGAACTGTCCCGGCTGTGATGAGGAGAATGAACAGTCCGTGCAGAGTTGCAGGCTGAAATGGAGAGGTGTTCTTCTCAAGGATCTGCAAATATTTCTGTAACAAGACAGGGGAGGTGGTAAACATGGGGTTTCTTTTCTTTTTTTTTTTTTT